GCAACCTTGCAAGAATGCCCCATTTGCTAGGAGGAAAAAATCTCCAGTAGTCAAAGAACATTTAAATTAACATCATCCAAAAGTTATTTTTGCATTCAGAATAATTGTTGAAGAATCAATATATACAACTCCACAGAATTCAGATTAAGATAAGGGCCCATCTGAATGTCTGTAGATGCAAGGATATATTTATTCTGCATGATGCATGTGGAGTTATGTTCTCCCAGTGCTTTGCATGGTGAACTGGCATCTCGAATTTGTATAAACTGCATGAGCAAGTAGAAGATAGATGGATGCAATAGAAAATGGTCTAAGTATCTTTCCTGTAGAAGGGACAGATGCTGAGGAAGGTTAGAAATGCAAAGCAAACATATTGAGCTAATTCAAGGAAAAGCCAGAAGAATTTTCATATCATGTGATGAAACAGTGAATCAATCGCAGAAGGACTAGATCCATATTCTTAAATTCTCACTCGCAAGTGGGTATTCAATTGGTTTCAGTTCGAAATATCACTTTTTGGTCAATGACAAACTGGAAATGTGATAGAATTCAAAATCAAATGACAATATGGACAAGACTGGTATACCAAACACATCTAGCTTCATAAACATTGTTACAGTAAGAATAACTGGTCTCAGGTTCAGTACCTGTTCCCAGAAACCATCGTGAACCCCTGTGAGGTAATTAGCTTAACCAAGACTTCAGCTGAACGAATGCACAGAAAAATGGCATGAGGTACTCAGGCACACAAACAGCTCAGTGGTGCAACACAGGCTGCTGATACACTTCTAGAGCAAAGACCACCCCCTCGTGAACATCTAGTTAACTTATGACAAAACCCATGTTTCTGTTGAAATGCTCTGTGGGGTTGGCGGGCAGGTCAACCTAGCTAAAGGACTGCTCTGCTGATTGCTGCTATAACACATCTCTTCTCCTCCCAACATTCCTGAAGTCCTGACCTCCCACATATAACCTCCAGGAAACCGATATCACTCTAATGGCTGGAGCGGAGGAGAGGATGCGGGCCGAAATTTCATCTATAAGACTGAGCTGAACTCATCTTTGATGATCACAGACACTTGAGCGGCCAGCCAGAGCCGGGAGGGCAGGGGCGGCTGTGAAGCAGAAGACCGTCACTTTCGGGTGAGCCGAGCATGATGGAGCAGGAATGGGCCACAAGGGGCAGCAGTGAGGGCTGGGGGGGGGCTCGGCTGGCTCCGTTACCTGCATCACCATCTGCTGCCAGGCCAGGCTCTGGGTGCCGCTAGCTGTGGAGGGCAGGGTGCCACGCTCCAGCTGCAGGGAGACGGTGCGGCGCTCCTCCTCCAGTGCGCGGGTCAGCCGCTCAAAGCGGGCCTCCTGCTCCTTAACCGACGCCAGGATGCTGGCAGTGGAGTGCACGTCACACTCCTCCATGGCCCAGTGCCCAAACGGTCTGGTCTTGGGCGGGGAGGGGGAAGAAAGGGGGCACAGGGTCATGGGGCTACTTCTTACACACCACACACTCGGAGGTGCGTAGCTAGAAATTCCGCCCCCCCGGCCAGATTTTTTGGATAATTCTATGCATGCAAGGGTCCCTGTAACGTGCTGAGCCCCCTGAATTTTCCAGGGTATCCCAACTGCACCCCTGCTAAGAGGCATGATGAAGTTTTAATATCATACTTGACTTTCTCTGCAACTAAAATGGCCGGACCCATGACCCTGACGAAGATCACTGTTTATGTATAGGTTTATAAAACTGGTAAGATGGATATATGGATGGAAGATCTCCCCCCAAATGTTTCTGTCGCCCATTCTTCACCATGACACATTGACATTGAAGCCTTACAACTTTTCAATGTAATAAAATTCAAGGGCACGCCTATACATACATGCAGGCACAAACTTGCCAGAAGATGAAGTACATATGGACACATGGAGCTCACGTGAGGAAGGGTGGCATCTCACACACAGAGCACACGGACACAGTTGGACTGGAGCACAGACACAGAGTGCTTAACTCTTAGCATGCGGTAGCATAGTGGCTAGCAGAGCACAGACACTGAGCGCTAACTCTTAGCATGCGGTAGCATAGTGGCTAGCAGAGCACAGACACTGAGCGCTAACTCTTAGCATGCGGTAGTATAGTGGCTAGCAGAGCACAGACACTGAGCGCTAACTCTTAGCATGTGGCAGATAAACCGTTAACAGGCACCAGCATGCTGCTGACAGCACTGCCTGTTCTGTGATTGATGGTGGAGGGACAGTGTATGTGTGTGTGTGTGTGTGTATGTGTGTGTGTGTGTGTGTGCTTCTGTCCATTGAGACAGACATTGAAATAGAAAAATAGGGGCTGATACACACCAGTTGGATTAGTAGTTTGAGAGGTTAGAGCAGAGACATCCCTCACTACGGAAAGAGGAGCGGGATCAAGGGACAGGAGGACCAGAGTGCTAAGAGAGAGAGAGGGAGGGAGAAGGAGAGAGACAAGGGTTAATTCGGAGGTTAACAGAGGAATGAAAGCCATGGTCCCCTCCTCTGAGAGCCCAATTCCAAGACGAGGATCATCACTCGACAAACACGAAGGGTGGGGTAGTGGTGTGACCATAGAGGCTGGAGAAGCTGAGCCCAGTGGACGTATAGAGACACGAGGGAGACGCACACTCTTGGGAGGGCATGTTGGCCCCGGGTTTGAGTCACACTCCCAGGAGGCTGTGTCAGCCCCAGATTCGAGTCACAACTGCACACGGATCAGAGAGACCTGCGGGCTGTATGTAAGCTCCCGTACAGTGGGGTTCTGAAGCCCTGATAAGCAGGTCCTCATTCGAATGGCTCCCACTGCCTACAGACCCACAGTACTTGGGAGGGGTGGTATTCTATTCTCTGCTTGCTTTCCAGTACATGGCTTACAACTGAAATGGTGACACACAATAACAACAGAGCCCTTCCGTCTCGCAAACTGGTGATTTCAACAGGACACCAAATGACAAGATGGCTTTTGCCCCTTTAAACAAGGGTTATTTCCGTTAGGGCTATTTTAGCCAAAGTGAATTCCAGCCCAAATACCCAGCTGGACTCTTCACTGGGGCGACCAGTTCCACACTTAAGGGTACAACAGCATGTCCCATCATCAGGTCCAGCCAATCTTCAGAAACCACATATTCCCTGCCCTTTAAAAACACTGCAGTCCCAGGGTGTAAAACTTTAAAAGCATGTAAAGACACTAAGGACTGTAAACATCCAGCTGCCCCGCCACGCCGAGGTTACCAGCTTCTAAGACTCCGTGCCTTGGCGGATGCTACAGCGACTGTAAATTAGCTGTGGAGCGTCAAAGGCATGTCAGCGGTGCCCAGAATGCGGGCGTCAACGCGGGAATAGATCAAAGCATGCTGGGAAGGAATCTGAGGAACCTCTCCCCAAGAAACGGGAGCTCACTGGCCGACGCACGGCAGCGCCGGGGCTGATGGGAAGCAGCCAGCCGTTCAGCCCCGGCTTCGCTCAGCAGCACGGGGCCCGCGTACCGGGGCTTTGGATCACACAGACAAAGAGATGTTGTATTTACGGAACAGGGCAAATGAGGCAAAACGCACACCGTGTCCCTCCAGGCTGCCCGGGAATCTGTGATTCCCTTAAAGCGAAAATGCTGTTAATGGATGAGAGGAACAATGCGTACATTCCCCCTCCTCTACGGCTCAAAATGAAATGCAAAGATTTCACAGGAGTGCGCTGGGCTAGGCTTTCCCCACAAGAATAAATGCCTTTCAGCGCACACCTCTACCTAAAAATAGACAGCTTAAAATGTACTCACAGGCTGGTGTACCTTAAGCACTGTTCGGGGCAGCATTCTCCAGGTCCCACAGAAAGAAAAAAAAACAACAACAACAACAAGGGTAGGATCCCTGGGTCCCTTCGATACCGCATTGCTACAGTGGGATGCAGAGCCCCCACCCCCCTGCCCCCCATTTAAATGAAGGAGCGTCCTGGAGCTCGACACCAGCATCACCGAGAAGCAACGTGGTGAGAGAGCTGGCGGCTGTGGCCCTGTGTCCAGACGCCGCTGGCCGGGGTCCCCAGGACCCGGGAGCTATCAAAACAGAGACCAACTCAGCTCCATCATCACAGTCACTGCGCTCTCAGCAAGCGATCAGTCGCCTCCCTTGCCTGTTATTATAATTTAAATTAGCTCCTTGTCCAAACACACCTGGGGCCTGGTTGAAAATGGCAGTCTCGGTGGGGGGGGCGGGGGGGGTATTATTTAAAAACATCTGCTCCCCCCATAGAAGTGCTGGGTCTGTTTCCCACCTGAGCTCTCAGATGCTGAGCTCGCTATGACCACACTGGACCAGTCTGATTAAGACCCTTCTTGCCAGGGGTCTAGAGACCAGGGAACGGGGGAATGACGCCCCCCCCAGTATTTAATTTGGCTTCATTCATCCACCCCGGCACACAGACAAATGTATTTAAATTACTGAGCACCCCTACGCTCTCCTACGCCATTGCTCCCCACCTCACACCAATGGATTCAGATGTGGGGTAACGGTCATTGTCGGACCCCACAGGTCTGGGTCCATCATTACAGTGGACAAACAGCAAGCTAGGATGGAGACAATGGAAACTCAAGCCAGAGAGGGGGCTGACATACCTGATTCTACACATCATCAATCATCCACCTGAACAAAGGCGATCACCCCCACTGGAGCCTGAGCGTTGGTGTCAACTAAAGATCAGCCCAGCGTGAGAAGGACATCCACACACACACACACACACACACACACACACACACACACACACTTACTTCCGCCTAAGCACTTAAACATGACCAGTGGCTGTGATTCGTTTTCATCAACAAACCAAAGCAGAACAGAAACACTCAAAGATCACTAACATTTATGTATAACAAATAACCATTTTAATCAGCATATCGATGCTGCATGCACTCTGAAGGAAACTGAAACCCAAAACCAGATTATTAACATGTCTCATTTCAACTGAAATTATTTGCTAATCCTAAGGCCACAATAAAAAAAAAATGCATCAGATGGTAATGAAGGCAATGATTTTAAAACGTTGTTTATCTGTAGGGGTGAGATGCTAGGTGTAATTCAATAGGAGGAAGGCGTAATTACTGACTGACGCTGAACTGCAGGAGCTCAAAACCCTTCAAAGGCCAAACTTTCAGCCATGCGGCGGCTGAAAATGTCTGAAGAATGTGCAGTGGAGCGGATGTTTCCGTTCACATTTGTGTGTGGCAGCTTCTCAGGAAGAAACGGGGGGGATGTCCTCAGCCATTAGTCTGACCCCAAGCCACCCTCTGGGGCTTCAAATAAAAACTCTAAGCCTCTAGAACATAAACAACTGTACAGATATGAATCACGTGCGGATAAATGCTGCCACAAAGTGTCCCTCACAATGAAAAGCAAATAAATGGAGGGGGGGAAAAAACATGAAAATCCCCAGAGAGGTTGCGGCTGAAGGAATGATGAAAGGCCAGCCGCACCTTTGATGCCACACGGACCCGGCCACGGCGTTTCGGCTACAGCTGGCGGGCGTCAGCAATGCACCCGGAGAGCTCGGCCTGGTGCGACGGCTGTGTGGGAGAAACGGGCAAATTCGGCCGTCGCTGACACGTCACCTGCACGCACAATCATGCCACCGCCAGGGTATATTTGCACCGGCCCTTTAAGTGAAAGATGTGAAAAGAAGCGGGAGTGTCATTTTCCTAAACGCTGGGGTGACAGCTTCTTAAAGACATCACGCGCCATTCATTCAAGTTGGACTAGCGTTCTGGCTCTCACATGGCAGCAGGGGTGCACCCTGATACGAGCCGTGTCATCAGGAGTAATCCAGCAAAAGGTCATTCAGTCCACCAACATGAGCAGCCATCACCCAAAACCATGGTCTTCCCCACAGGTCAATTTCAGAAACTCCATTTTAATGACTTTCCATGTAATTCTATGGCCGTGATTAAAATCTCCCTCTGTCGTCTCTCTGTGTCTCTCCAGATTCCAGCTCCAGCTCTGGACACTACAGCTTTTCTGGAAAATAGCAAAATGCAAGCTGATCTATCCAGTTATCTCTCAGCTATATTGCTCCCAAAAAGGCGGCAGGTTAACTCAGGGGTGTGAGGTCATTGTCCTCGTGGGGTGTGTCAGGCGGGGCTCGTCTTGGGTAACTTCTGAGACCAACAATGACAATGATGTGTGTGTATGGAAGAGGCCTGTGGGAGAAGGACAGGGGTATCGAATTTGGCACAGGCACACAGACACAGACAGATACACAGACAAAAGACATACAGACACAGACAGACACACAGACAAAAGACATACAGACACAGACAGACAGATACAAAGACACAGACATACAGACACAGACATACAGACACAGACAGATACACAGACGAAGACATACAGACACAGACAGATACACAGACGAACAGACAGATACAGACACAGACAGATACACAGACGAACAGACAGATACAAAGACCCAGACATACAGACACAGACAGATACACAGACAAAGACATACAGACAGATACACACTGCCATTCAGGAAGTCTCGTTTGTTTGGATATTTAAAATCTCAGTACTGGATTCATTTCGTCTAGAGCTGAATTTAATAAATGTCAGGACTCGCTCCCTCCCAATACTGAGGACCTTACTCCAAACCCCTACTGGCCCTTATGCAAAGAGATGTTTTCTGAACTCTGAAATAAACAAATTTCCATTAGTGTCTGTGGGTTTATGAAACAGTACCAGCAGCCCCCCCCCCCCTTTAAGAACAGGGAATCCCCCCCCAGGGCTCCTTGCTGTACAGTAGCCATACCCCCTCTGAAGCGGCCTAACCTGCGTTCGGGGGGGTCTTAGTTGTGCAACATGCAGCCTCAGCACATGGTTAATCACCGTCTCCCGCAATTATCCTCCCAAAGCTGCCTGGAACCATCTGAATGACACTGGAAGGTTACAAACCTGTCTCTCTGATTTCCTGCACAAACCAACTTTTTCAGGGGATCCACAGCCCTCCAAGCACAGCCCAGACGGCGGAAATGCAGCGATACCGCAGCCATGAGCTGAGCTACGCAGTGTTTCCTTATGCAAACTCAGGAGGGAGTGAGATCAAACTGAAACTCAAATAATTCAATCTCCAATTCAGGAAAGTCGAGAACTGCTCACACTAAACCAACTTTGTTCAGCTGTTACTGTGTTTTCATGTCTCAGCTCAGAAAAATTCACAATTCAAACATTCTTAGTGAGAGAAAGATGAACAATGGAACCTTCTACAGTGACTGCAGAGTATGGCACAAATTGCGCAGAAAAGCCATACTTCTCATTTTCAAAACACCAGATACTGTAGGCCAGAGATTATTAAATTCATCATTACCCTTCCCATCATGCACTGGGTGTCAGGCCTAATCGCACATGGATCACATGATCATAAAGATATCCTGAAAGAG